AAGTGAATTGGAAACAAATATGCAATCTCGTGTTTAATGTAATAATGTAATATTTTATAAAAAGGTAAAAAATACATAAATAAGAATTGATTAGATTTAACAATTTATTTATAACCATCATTTGATATCGTAGTTTAACTATTTGTATGTGTATCAAACTCTGCGCACCGGTTACGCTACGACCAGTTACACAAGTCACATGATTATGGTCTTATCACATGATTGTATACGCCACAATTGTTTTATCTATAATAAACAGCGCCATTAAAACTTGAGCTATGGTGTCATGTCTGTCGATATGATTGAAAATAAAATCAGTTTTGTTAAGTGAAGAATAGAAATTATTAATTACTGTTCTCTTTGGAAAGCGGTCATTGCTTTGGATATAAATGGTGTTTTCATAATATTTATGTTTCCGAAATTATTTTTTATTTTAGTTTACATCTAACACCTTACGGTCTTGAAACATGAGCAAAACTGTGTTTACTTTTCAAAATAAATATCAAAATTGAAAAATTCATATTGTCAAAAATCTTATATATTTGCAAATACCAACGACAAAGATTTAAATGAAACAATATTGTTAAAGACACGTTATGCCTCTTTCTACTACTTTAGAAAAAAAATACTTTAAAACTTTTTTTAAGTTGCACTGAGCGTGCAGTAATGTGTTATGATGGTAGAAAAATTTAAACAATGTAGTATTTAAGCTTCCATACAAAATGATAATAAATATGATTATACCCTTTGCAAAAATTGAAATTTTGAGAAGAATTTCTGAGGCATAATGGGCCTTTAAAATGTCGTAAGATGATTTAAAAAAAAGAAAACATAATTATGTATTGCAAAACAAGTTCATTGAAATAAAAATTGAATGCTACTTTCAAATAAAGTTAACGCTATTGAAATGCATTTATTTTAGTTCTAAATTCCTCTTAGAAGCCTTTCACTACTTTCTCTAGCTTCTTTTTTTCGTCCTGTCTTTCAGGTTTTCCAAAATTGTTTTGCTATTCTGGCATTTACTTCTAGAACATTTTTAAATTCTTTTTTTTAAATGTCTGCTCGTGCTTTTGTTTTATCGAAAATAATATTTAAAATTTATTTCTGTTTTGTTTTCTTTTACATTAAGATTGTTAATAATTAATTATTTAACAAAATGTTTCGACTCCGGTGAAATACTCTCTTTTAAATGACATGGTTACACTTTTGCAATGTATATTGAGTGATGATATGCAATAAAACCGATAAGTCAACTTTTGAAGTCTCCCTCACGAGAGGTAAAGTTGTGAGTTTGAGTCGAGATTGTGAGTTTGAGTCGAGATTGAGATTGAGAATCGTTTCTGGATATGGGCCTTAATCCTGTTAGGGGAGATCACTGCGAGGGAGATACTTTAGTACTAACCAATCAATACACCTAAGTCAATGTTAACGTGATGCTATTGATAGACTTCGTAAACAGTCCAAGACAGTCCAAGTGGTTTTCCTGCATATTTAATAGCCTGAAAACTAACACTTAAAATGTTGGTTCAAAGAAAACATATGGACTATAAAGGCACGTTTCTGTTATAAATACTATATAATTAAACTTGATTCCAAAGTTTAGTTTAAACAATATTTTATTTATAAGTATTACATTTACATGATAATTGACAAATAATAAATAGTACGGATTGAGTAGTAAGCTTGAAAGCTTTTTTAAAAACTCTTTCCGTGTCATTATTCCAAAGTTTGAACACATCATTTTCCGATCATTTGTAACACATCAACTTGCAAAGAAGCTATAAGAATAATTATAAGAATAATTATTTATTTATCATTAAAATCTATTGTACCAAACATTTCATTAATTAAGAAATAAACAGCTAGCCCGTACACGTTGCGGTATAAGCAATGCTTTTGTTTAATGTCATCCTAGTGTTTTCAAACATCTTACTGAAACAGCCGATGTTAAACGAAATTTTCGATGCTTTATTTTTTGTTGGTTTGGTAATTCCAGTAATTCTACTTGAATACTGTTTTATCATCCTTGATTTATGTTGCATGTCTTTAAATGTGTACATACAGGCTTTCCATCTTCGATCCCCTTTCAAAAATTAAATATCATTTAGTTCCATCGAGTGATAACTCGTAAAGGGTGCTAACATTCTATTATTCGGGGACGTCGCTTTTTATGGAATGGCACGAACGAACGTATCACATTGAAAGTTCAATGATCACCTCCGTATTAAGACATCTGCAGATGTTTCCAAATTCGGTGCTATGGGGCGTTGAAAGCACAATTTAGTGCCATCGATAAATAGGCTCAACCAAACTGAGCCTGCAACTTTCTCAATATAGTCGATAAATATTAAAGTATACAGAAGTAGCTCTATCAGACTGCATTGCCTCCCCTGACAATGTTCTATCAGACTGCATTATCACACTTGACAATGCTCTATGAGACTGCATTACCTCCCCTGGCAGTGCTCTTTCAGATTGCATTACCTCCCCTTATAATGCAGTATCATACTGCATTACCTCCCCTGACAATGCTATAGCATACTGCATTGCCTCCCCTACCAATGGTCTATCAGACTGCATAACTTCCCCTGCCAATGGTCTATCAGACTGCATTACCTTCCCTAACAATGCTCTATCAGACTGCATTACCTCCCCTGACAATGTACTATCAGACTGCAATACCTCCCCTGACATTACTCTATCAGACTGCATTACCTCAACTGACAATTCTCTATCTGAAGGCATAACCTCCCCTGACAATGCACTATCAGACTGCAATACCTCCCCTGACAATGGGCTGTAAGACTGCATTTCCTCCCCTGACAATGCACTATCAGACTGCATTACATCCTCTGACAATGCTCTTTCAGATTGCATAACATCCCCTGATAATGCAGTATCAGACTGCATTACCTCCCCTGATAATGTTCTATCGGACTGCATTACATAACCTGCAATGGTATATCATACTGCATTGCCTCCCCTGTCAATGCTCTATCTGACTGCAATACCTCCCCTGACAATGGGCTGTAAGACTGCATTTCCTCCCCTGACAATGCACTATCAGACTGCATTACATCCTCTGACAATGCTTTATCAGGCTGCATTACCACTTCTGACAGACAACGCTCTATCAGACGGCCTTACCTCCTCTGACAATGCTCTATCGGACTGCATTACCTTCTCTGACAATGCTCTATCAGACTGCATTAACTCCCCTGACAATGCTCTTTCAGACTGCATTACATTTCCTGACAATTCTCTGTCAGACTACATTACATGCCCTGACAATGTTCTATAAGACTGCATTACCTCCCCTGACAATGCTCTATGAGACTGCATTACCTCCTCTGAACTTGCTCTATAAGACTGCATTACCTCCCCTGACAATGCTCTATCAGACTGCATTACTTCCCTCGACATTACTCTCTAAGACTGATTACCTCCCCTGACAATGCTCTATCAGACTGCATTACCTCCCCCAACATTACTCCATAAGACTGCATTACCTCCCTGACAATGCTCTATCAGATTGCATTATATGCCCTGAAAATGCGCTATCAGACTGCAACACCTCCCCTGACATGGCTCTATCAGACTGCATTACCTCCGCTGACAATGCTTTATCAGACTGCATAACCTCCCCTGACAATGCTCTATCAGACTTCATTATCTCTCCTGACAATGCTCTATCAGATTGCATTTCCTCCCCTGACAATGCTCTTTCAGACTGTATTACCTTCTCTGACAATGCTCTATCAGACTGCATTGCCTCCCCTGACAATGCTCTATCAGACTGCATTTTCGCACCTGACAATGCTTTATGAGACTGCATTACCTCCCCTGGCAGTGCTCTTTCAGATTGCATTACATCCCCTGATAATGCAGTATCAGACTGCATTACCTCCCCTGATAATGTTCTATCGGACTGCATTACATAACCTGCAATGGTATATCATACTGCATTGCCTCCCCTGTCAATGCTCTATCTGACTGCATTATTTCCACTGCCAATGGTCTATCAGACTGCATTACCTTCCCTAAAAATGCTCTATCAAACTACATTACCTCCCCTTACAATGCACTACCAGACTGCAATACCTCCCCTGACATTACTCTATCAGACTGCATTACCTCTCCTGACATTACTCTATCAGACTGCATTACCTCGCCTGACAATTCTCTTTCAGACTGCATTACCTCCCCTGACAATGCACTATCAGACTGCAATACATCCTCTGACAATACTTTATCAGGCTGCATTGTCACCTCTGACAATGCTCTATCAGACTGCATTCCCTCCCCTGACGATGCTCTTTCAGACTGCATTACATCCTCTGACAATACTTTATCAGGCTGCATTGTCACCTCTGACAATGCTCTATCAGACTGCATTCCCTCCCCTGACGATGCTCTATCAGTCTTAAACACCTCCCCTGACAATGCTCTATCAGACTGCATTACCCCCTGCGACAATGCTCCATCAGACTGCATTACCTCCTCTCACAATTCTCTATAAGACTGCATTACCTCCCCTGACGGTTCTCTATAAGACTGCATTACCTCCTCAGACAATGCTCTATCAGACTGCATTACCTCCTCTGACAATGCTCGACTGCATTATATGCCCTGAAAATGCGCTATCAGACTGCAACCCCTCCCCTGACAGTGCTCTATCAGACTGCATTACCTCCTCTGACAATGCTCTATCAGACTGCATTATCTCTCCTGACAATGCTCTATTATACTGCATTACCTCCCCTGACAATGCTCTGTCAGACTGCATTACATGCCCTGACAATGTTTTATAAGACTGCATTACCTCCCCTGACAATGCTCTATCAGACTGCATTACCTCCTGTGACAATGCTCTATCAGACTGCATAACCTCCCCTGACAATACTCTGTCAGACTGCATTACCGCCCCATGACAATGCTATATCAGACTTCATTACCTCCCCTGACAAATGCTCAATCAGACTGCATTATCTCTCCTGACAATGCTCTTTCAGGCTGCATTACCTCTCCTGACAATGCTCTATCAGACTGCATTACCTCCCCTAACAATACTCTGTCAGACTGCATTACCTCCCCCCAACAATGCTCTTTCAGACTGCATTGCCTCCTCTAACAATGCTCTTTCAGACACCATTAGCTACCCTGAAAATTCTCTTCAAACAATGAATACTTCGATATCGCCATAGGTAATCATGATGACGGAGAAAAGCGTCAACGCTTTTACAAAAGGATTTATTCTTAATGCTTACCATCTTTGACTGCTTTTCTAGCTTTTTTTTTGTTCCTTGAATTGCCTTTTTGATCAATGATACTGTCCGTTCGACTTGCCACATCAGCTTCATATTGTTTTTCAGTTGGACACAACTCAATGCCGAACTCTTCTTCCATTTTTCCTTCATCCTCCTCATACCAAAAAGCTTGTGAATCTTTCTGACAACTCTGATTCTATATTGAATTCTATATTCATGTTAGAAGAACCTAAAGATATAAGGAAACCAAATGTTTTGTGAAATAGTCCGAAGCGTTAAATAAAATGAATAAAATGTTTACATAAATGGAATATTAATTGTTGCAGTAATTACTTTAAGGTCCGAGAAATGCGTCGCAAAAAGAGACTGATAAATCCAATGTTAAGCCACAGGAGCCGGGAGCTAGTGCTGTGACAACAGAAGATTGGGATCCAGCCAAAAAAACATTTACTGAACAGTAAGCTGTCCATTTTCAAAATTTGCTATCTGCTATCTCAGTGTGGCCATACCACGTGACATTGACGTCATTTTCGGCATCATTTCCAAGACAAATGTTGCTCGATTCGGAAAAGAAAATAGCCGTAAATATTTTATTTCTGTACCAATTTCTTTGGGATAGGCACCAGTCTACGGGGAAAAATATAAGCTTTCCACAGAATATTGGATCTCCGTCAGTTTATAAGCCGTTTTATCAAACACTTTGCATAACCTTGGAAGTTGCTTGTATTAGAGCGGGCTTCAGTTGCAATCTATTTCGTTTTCTGGCGTTATTTGGTCTACGCCATGATAAATAGGTCAGGTTTACATCAACCGGAGGTACAGACAGCAAAATCCTACCTTAATATGTTCATATGGTTATTATTTATTTATAATCATGCCATTTTCTTTAATTGTCAATTCTGGCACCAGTTCAAAGTCGAAAAAAAGGACTTCAGTTTAAAGCAGATTTATGAATCTGTTGCAAATGCGAAGCAACATACCTACCGTTCGTTCTCTATAATTATGTTAACCATAAAAACATTTGTTATTTACTGTACGATTTACATAAACACAAATGAATATTTAAATGATTTTACTTGCTGCGCTATAAGTGATTTTAAAAGTCGTAAAATTGTTGTCTGTACATGTGTATTTGTAAAGAAATTGATTTGCTCTTTAATCATTGTTCTTTAATTCACGGTAATGATTATGAAAAATCTATATGTGTCATGTAGCAATACTAAACGTATTCAAAATAGAGAGAAAACAGAAACCCAAAACGGCAAAATTGACTTAGCTAGATTTGTCCAATGAACGTGCGCATTCAGGATCACTTCCATTTTTATGCTGTAAAGCGTTATGCCTCAACGCGCCAATTTCAAAGTCAAAGGGTATTCTTTTGTAAAGAGTTTTTTATACGTATAACCATAATGTTATAAACCTGTAGCAATGTTTAAGTTTAATAGATTCAGCTTTTTAATACAGTGTCACTCGTTGATAAAAAATATTTAACATCCTGTTTTCATACCAACGGTAACCGTTTTTTCGTGAACTGGATATAACTTCGTTCACTTAAGAACACTAAACACTATTTATTTTATTATTGCATTTATTTCTGTTGATAAACTACATATTTGACAAATTTAGTTAATTGTATCAGTCAATCGAGCTTTATCAGAGAGCTCACCAATACACATTGTAAAGAGAGAAAGGGAACGGAATATTTATGGTTTGAAAACATTTAAATCGAGTAGAATTTTTAACAATAATGTCTCTTCCAACTGAATAAAAACGATAGGGCTATTTGGGACTATTTCTTATCGATGTGGTCATTGGATGTAAATGCATGGATTATTGCATGCGGCATGACCTACAGATGTCCTTAACAGGATTTTTGTTGCAATTTAAGATTTAAAGAAGGACCACATATTATAATCTAAAATTTGATAAACATAATACATTTGCCAAATAAGTGAATTATCTGATATGTGAATAAAGAAGTAAGTCATTTGACAGTTGAAGTATAAAAATTGAATATGCTCTTCAAATGTATTCGTAATTTTACTTAGCTTATGTTAGCTATCAATAATTCAATGAACACATCAGTGTCATATTTGGACCCAGTCTTGTTGCTAATGTAGATATTTATATAATTATTGATAATCATTGCTATGTCCGACTTTTAGAATGTTTTGTTTCAAGAAATTTGACTTTAATCGATTGCTGTTGGTTTGTAAAATCATTTATCTGTTTACTATTTTCTACTTTGTTTACTCCACATGGCGTCCATTCTCGTTTTTTATTGGCGACTCAGCGCTATTTTGGGCCTTTTTGATAAAGAGAGAATCATAAGTAACGCAACTAAGTAACAATACTATCAGGTTTACACGCAAAGTTCCAAGTTATATGTAATGCTATTTAAAATTGTTCTACACAAAGAACAAAATCTGACTGATGATGAATATGCTAATAGTTAAATAAGCATAAAATGTGAACGTCATGTTAATGCGCGTGACAATTAGATTCAGGATTTTAATTCTAAATTGTGATTTTTGTTTATCAAATTTTATAGAAATTTATTATACGTCAATTCCAGAAAAATATACCTTTCCAAAGTCTCTCTTTTGAGGACAGAAGAACATATTCGTCACCTTCACGAGTGTCAGTGTTTGTCAGTTACTCTTTACAAAAAATAAACTGAAAAAATTACCTTAAGCCTTTTTACAACACTCGCGTTATAGTGTAACCCTTTCCGTAGCATTGTTTTATTTTAACTCTTTCTCTCACTGAGAGCACATTTATTTCTTATCAATTTCGCCATTGTGAAATAGAATAATTAAATTACATTTTACTACATAGGATAAGATGAGCAATACTATAAACATCTTCAAAACGAAACCAAAATATTATTTTTCGGTGCACTATTGCGATACAAGTAAGTGTTATTGCTTTAAGTCACAATCAGTTTTTTCACAATCTCTTTGTGAAAGATCAACAATGAAACAGTAAATTGTAGAAAGAGAACGGTAGGCATTGTTGCTTTGCATTTGCAATAGATTCTAAAATCTGCTTTAAACTATAGTCCCTTTTTTCGACTTGGAACTGGTGCCAGAATTGACAATTGAAGAAAATGGCAAGATTTACGCCATAAATAATTAACATATAAACATATTAAGGTAGGATTTTGCTGTCTGTACCCCCGGTTGATGTAAACCTGACCTATTAATCATGGCGTAAAACAAAATAACGCCAGAAAACGAAATAGCTTGCAAGTGAAGCCCGCTCTAATACAAGCAACTTCCAAGGTTATGCAAAGTGTTTGATAAAACGGCTTATAAACTGACGGAGATCCAATATTCTGTGGAAAGCTTATATTTTTCCCCGTAGACTGGTGCATATCCCAAAGATATTGGTACAGAAATAAAATATTTACGGCTATTTTCTTTTCCGAATCGAGCAATATTTATCTTGGAAATGATGCCAAAAATGACGTAAATGTCACGTGGTATTGCCACACGTGTATCTAAAACGACTAAAATACCATATTGTTATTGATAAAGTTTTGGTATCTGCTTTTCATATTAGGTTTAACATCGTCTGATGTATGTTTCGTGCACATATATAACTCCATTATTTTAAAAAAGTAGACATACTAGAAAACGGTGATAGACACTATTTATGAAAATTCTAAATTCTACATTCAAATATATGGGAACAAATATTAACTCTTCGTTATGTAATCTCTTCGAAGCTCCTAGTGATTTGATCTCACTATTTCAATGAGCTAGCTAGCCGATTACAAAAAAAATATAACAATTATAAAGTAATTAAATGGTAAACATCGTTTCTTTTTCAATCATACTATCACCAAAATAGACCATATTTTTATAATATTCAGTCGTTACTAATAATATAAAGGTTACACAATCTGTATTCGTTCACATCAAAAGTGACGTGGCAGAGCTACTTTAAAACAGTACGTTTTTACCGAGATGATAATGAATAACCCACTTTTTTTCTGGATTAGAAAAGGTTGTCTCTGGAAAATAGGGATTTGAAACCGATCTTTGCAAACTATCGTTTTTATTTTCAGGCAAAAGGCGGAATATACGGCATTTCAGGAAGGTAATAAATGGATATTCATTATTTTACACTCGAATTATTGTGCCATTGCTCTCATTTGCTTAGATTTTATTATTTAATTTAATGGTTATATACCTACATTCCCTGGTAAGTGAATTGGAAACAAATATGCAATCTCGTGTTTAATGTAATAATGTAATATTTTATAAAAAGGTAAAAAATACATAAATAAGAATTGATTAGATTTAACAATTCATTTATAACCATCATTTGATATCGTAGTTTAACTATTTGTAGGAGTATTAAACTCTGCGCACCGGTTACGCTACGACCAGTTACACAAGTCACATGATTATGGTCTTATCACATGATTGTATACGCCACAATTGTTTTATCTGTAATAAACAGCGCCATTATAACTTGAGCTATGGTGTCATGTCTGTCGATATGATTGAAAATAAAATCAGTTTTGTTAAGTGAAGAATAGAAATTATTAATAACTGTTCTCTTTGGAAAATGGTCATTGCTTTGGAAATAAACGGTGTTTTCATAATTTTTATGTTTCCGAAATTATTTTTTATTTTAGTTTACATCTAACACCTTACGGTCTTGAAACATGAGCAAAACCGTGTTTACTTTTCAAAATAAATATCAAAATTGAAAAATTCATATTGTCAAAAATCTTATATATTTGCAAATACCAACGACAAAGATTAAAATGAAACAATAAAGATACGTTATGCCTCTTTCTACTACTTTATAAAAAAATACTTTAAAACTTTTTAAGTTGCACTGAGCGTGCAGTAATGTGTTATGATGGTAGAAAAATTTAAACAATGTAGTATTTTAACTTCCATACAAAATTATAAAAAGTATGATTATACCCTTTGCAAAAGTTGAAATTTTGAGAAGAATTTCTGAGGCATAATGGACCTTTAAAATGTCGTAAGATGATTTAAGAAAAGAAATCATAATTATGTATTGCAAAAAAGTTCATCGACATAACAATTGAATGCTACTTTCAAATAAAGTTAACACTGTTGAAAATGCATTTTTTTAGTTCTAAAGTCCTGTTAGAAGCCTTTCACTACTTTCTTTAGCTTCTTTTTTTCGTCCTGTCTTTCAGGTTTTCCAAAATTGTTTTGCTATTCTGGCATTTACTTCTAGAACATTTTTAAATTCTTTTTTTAAATGTCTGCTGGTGCTTTTGTTTTATCGAAAATAATATTTAAAATCTATTTTTGTTTTGTTTTCTTTTACATTAAGATTTTTAATAATTAATTCTTTAACAAAATGTTTCGACTCCGGTGAAATACTCTTAAATGACATGGTTACACTTTTGAAATGTATATTGAGTGATGATATGCCATAAAACCGATCGGTCAACTTTTGAGGTCTCCCTCACGAGAGGTAAGTAAGGTTGTGTGAACAAAACGAATACCACTTTACACATTGTGAGTTACTTACCATAAGTCTACTCCAGCGTTACTTGAGGCGACCTTTCGTGAGATTGAGATTGAGTATCGTTTCTGGATAGGTTTAACCCTGTTAGGGAATCACGCGGGGAGATATTTTAATACAAAACAAAACCTAATCAATGTTAACGTATCTATTGATAGACTTCAAAACAGTCCAAGACACCAAAGGGTTTTTCCTTATATAATTAAATACCTGAAAACTAACACCTAAAATTTTTTCAAAAAACATAACATAAAAGACGTTTTTTTTAAAAATCTAAAATTAAAATTATTCCAAAGTTTTTACACATCATTTTCCATCATTTTAGCAAACAACTTTCAAAACATAAAAAATAAAAATTTTATCATTAAAATCTTTTTGGCCAACTTAATAATTTAAAAAAAAACAGTACCCGTTTCACGTTCCCCTTTAACAAAGCTTTTTTTTTCATTCATCCCAGGTTTTTAAACCCTCTTACTAAACACCGAGTTTTAAAGAATTTTTCGATGCTTTTTTTTTTTTGGGTTTTGGGAAATTTCCAGTAATTTTTCCCTTGAATATTTGTTTATTACCCTTGATTTAGTTGATTTTCTTTTAATTTTTAAATACGGGTTTTAAAATTTCAACCCCCCTTTCCCAAAATTAAAAATGTCTTTTAGTTTCCCGAATGGGTGCTAATTCAAAATTTTTCCCGGAGACGTGGTTTTTTTAGGGAAGGGAAAAACGAACGAACGTTAAATTTAAAAGTTCAATGATAAACTCCGAAATTAACACATCTGCAAAATTTTTCCAAATTCGGTGCTAGGGGCTTTGGGCCAAGCAAATTTAGGATCGAAAAAATGGGCTCCCCCAAACTTACCCTGCAACTTTCTCAATATAGTGAAAAATTATTTAAAAGTATACAAAAAGTATTTCCGTTTTAATTTCATATTTTATAGTTTGTCCCTTTTTTTCATTTTCAGAGCAAGCTCATCTTATTAAATACATAAAGGAAAAAGAAATTTTATTGCAAAAGGTAGGAAAATACATGTATACGAGGAGAAGTCAAAAAATATCCGGACTGTTTACTCGTTCTTGAAAACCATTCAACATTTAAAAAAAAATCTTTCTACTCTTTTTCAAAATATTCTCAACCTACGTCTACGCACTATAGCCATCTTCGTGGGAGCTTTTGTTTTCCCGCTGTGAACCATGACGTAGACCTATGTTTTAGGTACTGTGTAACAGCAGATATCAAAGCCGCCCTGGTCTTATATTTATTTCCAGAAAGCATTTATTTCCGTTCTTAAAACAAATAAAAGTCACAGGCTATAAGGAGGGTGAGACAACAATTTCCATTTATAAGAGTTGATAGCCTCCACTGTAGCCGAAGCGGTATGAGAGGGGCGTTATCGTGAAGAAGGGGGACATTTTTCTCTGCTAACCTGGGACGCATATGCTTCAGCTTTTCTCTGAGATTTTTCAGAATTACTTCAGAATAGTACTTGGCGGTGACAGTTTGACAGTAAGTATCATTCCCCGTGAATCCCAAAAGGCAACAAGCATGACTTTGCCAGCCGAAGGAGACAGCTTAAACTTTTTAGGAGGTGGGGAACCAGCTCGTTTCCACTGCTTTGACTGAGCTTTTGTCTCAGGTTCGGAATAATGAACAAACATCTCATCTCCAGTGATAATGCGGTTCAAAAACTGATCTCTTTCACGATTCAAACGACTTAAATGTTCTTTTGCATTTGTTACTCTGGTTGCCTTTTGATCTGCGGACAGCTGATAAGGCACCCACCAGGCACTTACCTTGCTCATGCCTAGGTGTTCGTGTAAAATCCTGTGTGCCTTACCAATGCTAAACTTGTTGGCTACCTCCTCCAAAGTTACTCGACGATTTTTGTTGGCAAAAGCTTTAACATTTGCTACCATTGTTGGGGTCACCGCCTCAGCTGGCCATCTAGTCCTAGGCCTGTCACAAACACTTGTTTAGCCTTCACGAAACTGAGAAACCCAGTTGCAGAAGGTTGAACGTGATACACATTTATCAGAAAATCTTCTTTTAAGCCTCTGAAAGATGTGGCAGGGCTTTATTACCATGATTACAGAGCGTTGTTCCTCTAACAAAAAGTCAATGATAGACAAAACACCTATAATATATCAGAGAGCAAAGTACTGTGTATACACAACTATCATTGAAAATAAACTGACCACGTTGTTGGCGAATGAATGTAGTTTTCCCCAATATATAATGTGTTTATATAGCTGCACGTGGAAAGAGAGGAGCATGAAAAGTCCGGATATTTTATGACCGTGCCTCGTATAAAGAACACGTTTTGATTAGACTTATTATGTACTTGTATGAACATCAGATAATGTGTTGTGCAGCCAAAAAATGATAAAATTCATTTACAAAAAAGAAATGAATAAATATTCAAGATGATTTTCTTTTAAACACAAATATTTATAAATATGATCATTTTCTAAAAACTCATGTTTGAAATTTCAAATATGTTTATGTATAGATATTATATGCTTTAATAACAGATGTCAAATTTATAATTATGTAACCGGAAGATTAAATATGGCTTTTTTCCTCTTTGTCCAATCAATTGTGCTAAAAGTTTTATTATACATAAGGTGATAAAGTCAATTAAGCTGTCTGTACTTAATAAGTTGTTACACCTTATCACTGATAAAATGTTCAGGTGATGATTGATGTTATAAATTCCATGTTTCTATGTTACATTATTTTGTATTGAAACCTGATTGGTCATTTTGTAATTTAAGAAACAAATATGTTAAATTCTATTGGTCAGTGTAAAACAAAACTAGTTATAAAAATATAAATATTGTAATGGCAGAAACGTTAGATTTGAGATTTCCAAGCGATAACAATGTGGCTTTCAACTAGAATAATTGTTACTATTTTTAATATTAATGTGTTAACATTAGGATAACCTGTGTATATGTTATATATTATTTGAGATATTCCACTGAGAAAGGAACATTAAATTAAAAAATAAAACATTGTGTTGAGATTCACTTCACTCTATAAAGACTCTAAATTTAGCGAACTATCATCATTGCTAAATAACGACCCAAACCAAAGTAAAAATTAAATTTTAATGAATGAATGAGCGTCACTGTAAGACTATTCTATTAACAAATAAATATACAAGCAATACAAGCAGTACATGTAAGACGGTTCAATTTTCAGATAAGTAAGCAAACATGCAATACAAGAAGACAATTCAATTATCAGATAATTATTCAAACATGCAATACAGGTAATGTAGAACATAAATGCAACAAGCATAAATACCCGCCTGTAACACTGAACTTAAATGACATTGATTAACTACAGTAAACAAATCATGAAAAGTATAGGATGCTCAACAATTGATTTTTAAACTATTAACAATAAGTTATATAAAGAAATGATTATTAAAACAAAATATGAAATGAAATAAAGATGTAAAATAAATAAACAACATGAACATATGAATGTAAAAACAAAACGAAAAAAAAAATGATAATAATAAACCAACTACATAAATGGGCTTGATGAAGGGCGGGCGGGCCAAAATGTTGAAACAGTGACGCTTACAAACAAAATATCAAGAAGTGGTGCGAAGAACTGGCAGCGTCGTTAAATAAACTACTACGACAAATCAAAAAACAAGATATGACTATCCAATAAGAAAGCTTGTTAAATATTAGGCTAGAAGAAAATACTGACGAATACAGAACAAAGAAGCTGTCGTCAATAATTAAAATACTTTAAAAATATTTAAAATTGTCCAATTAATATCCTTGCTAAATAACGACTCAAACCAAAGTAATTATTAATTTTTAATGAATGAATGAGCGTCATTGAAAGACTATTCTATTAACAAATAATTATACAAGCAATACAAGCAATACTTGTAAGACTATTCAATTATCAGATAAGTAAGCAAACATGCAATACAAGAAGACAATTCAATTATCAGATAATTAAACAAACATGCAATACAGGTAATGTAGAACATAAATGCAACAAGCATAAATACCCGCCAAACAACAGCCAAAATAAGCCAAGGCAAAGAAAACATAAATAAAGCACAAATTAACATGCAAACGAAATTAAACAGAAGTAGCATCTTACCTAATAATCTTATACTGCCTTATATCTAAATTCTACAACAAAATAAATAAATAAATAAAATTGACAAAATATTATATGATACAAAAAAGACAAAGTATCATGCAATCCTAAGAATTTTAACTGAACAATTAACGTGGTAAAGTGGAAATCACACGTAAGAAAAAATGCCTAAGACGATTGGAGCCTTCTGTGTTCAAATGAAGCCCACCATCTTATTTAGCAAATAAAAATATTTTAACTTGACCTTTAAAACAAAATGGACGGTATGATCTTATGAATTTAAAATTCAGACATGAAGCCAAAACATCTTCAAGAAAATGATTTAATTGTCTGTATCAGAATGATCCACCGGTCGAGGGAGAACAGAATAAATAATAATCTTAATTGAATGATTTTCATGCCTAATAGATGCAATCAAATTGGCAAAATCTGAGCCGATAGATTGAATTGACTGTCGAATACTTATATATTTAGTGCCAACATGAACAACAATAAAGCTTTTGTCATACAAATAAATTTTGTGTTGACTAACCAAATAAGCTAATCTGCCAATAGTATCACCAGGAAAGGACTGGATCTTGACTCCCTCGATCGGAGAAATATTTTTAATGATAAAATCTCCTATAATAACAACAGGACGAATTTCTGCAAAAAAAAAATAAATAAAAATAAAAATAATATAAAATAGAAAAATGAAATTGAAAGGAAAAACAAAGACTAATAACAAAGAATAGGTGATGAAAACAAATAAAAAGTGTAGCCAAAGTAGCAAAAAAAATGATATGCTGATATTTGAATATCAAATCTATCCGGAAGGTTAAGACATCCGACATCCTACCGACAATAGACAAGTTTCTCCGCAAGGACGAAACGCATAATCAATATTCTTTGCAATTCTACACAATACTGCATTAAACTGTTAAGGCAACCTAAAAATACTACAATCTGAAACAATAATTAAACTTTTCCTTTATAACCTAACAGGTTTTTACTAACAAAACGAGAAACTTTAATTTTATATTTAATATCATATTGAATATATCTTTTGTAAGCATCAGAACGCCAATCACCCATTAGTTGGATCAAATCTGGTGGAATTGCTAGTCTAAATGCCAGAGTTGCAAAACCTCTTCTAAAAGAATGAGTGGAGTATAGTTTTGAATCTAAACCAATACCCTCAATAACTGAGCGCAGTTTAAGAAGAAACTTATAGTAAGTAACTGGCTAACCTGATTTCAACACAAACAAAGGAGAATGATTGGAAGCAGGAATGTAATTTATCATATTCTTATCAGCCTCAACAGGACACAAAACAGAGTCAATTATTGGAGACAAAGGAGTGATAAGAATCCTTTCCCCAGCTTGAATAGTTTTAGTCCATTTCATAGAAACTAACAATGTACTATCATCAAAAGTAACATCCTTCCTTAGTAAAAATTTAGGCTCAGATAAATCCTTAGAACTAGTTGGAACGATATTAGACTGTCCATTAATAAAACACCAGAATGTGTAATTGTCAATACTAGAAAAGTCCAAAAATGAATTAATACTCATCAAAATATCAGGAGTTATATGTTCCGCTTGTTTAACTATGTGCAGAATGCTTTTAGCAATACCCTTAAGAGACAAATTAAGCAAAAGGCTGTTTATATGTTCAATATTGTAACCGAACAACAAATGGACAGATCTAACTCCACTGATATAATTTTTAATTGAATCTACAGATTTAAAGGACCTGCTAAGAAACTGAGCATAAAGTTGCAATGTTTCAGTTGAAGTAGGTAAACTACAAAATTTAAAAAGCAAACAAAACAATATAAAAGATTCCCATTGAACTCTTAAGTTCCTACGAGAACCAACAGCATAAGCCCTTTTGTTGGATT